CTGGTGCACCCAGCCCGCTGCCCAGCCGCTGCCTGCCAGCACCCAAGATCCCCACCAGCTGGAGACGTGTGGCTGCTGGAGACCTGCATGCCCCCAGGGAAGCAAGCCTTGTGGCACAGCCCAGAACTCCTCTGCAGACAGCCCTGTCTCTAGGCACTCACCATCAGGATTTCCAGAAGCTTTCCCTTCAGGGAGGGGTTAAAGCCTGCAGAATCACCCACAGCTTGGTAGGCAGAGCTGCAGTCGGTGATGCTCTGCACCAGCGCAAGGTTGTTCTGCAAGTCCTGAGGAGCAAGAGAGAAGAACATTCCTTGAACTGCGGGAAGGGACAAGGGCTGCAAGGGACACACGTGGGGACAACGCTAAGGGAAGGGATCGGATCTTTATCTGGGCGCAAACAGTTCCCCGAGGGACCTTTGGAAAGGGAAGGCCCATCTCAGCATCCCCCCACGTGGAGGGGCTGCAGCTGGGCGCTCTGACACCCTGGCACGCTTTGAGCTCTCACCCGGCAGCTGCAGCTGTAGAGCATCAGGACGTTGCCCACGATGTCTCCCTCCAGGTGGGCGAGCAGCTGTTCTTTGGAGGCACGCAGTGCCACGCTGCCGTGGGCGAGCATGAGAGCGCTGCGTGTGGCATGAGCTCTCGTGCTGTCCAGCTCCATCTGTGTGGGAAGAAATGCCTTGAGACACTCGCTAACGGCCCCCAGTGCCCTGCGATGCACCTGGGCTCCCAAGGCAGGAGCTGCAGGGAAAATAAGGCAGAAGAATGCCAAGATGGAAACCTGTAACGCTTTACCTTCTTGCGCCTGGAAATCCTGGCATTGCGGCCTTTGCACAGCCTGGACGCAAACATGGTGAGCGTGGCCAGGACTGTGTGGAAGTTGTTCTCAGCAGCATGGCTGAGAAGAGAGATGATTCCCTGCACAAAAGAACAAGGGGCCGTTGGCACAGGCCTGAATCTACAGGTCCTCTCCTGAGCAAAATGGCAGCAGTGAAGAGGTTGAAAGGCCCGGAGCAGGGCCAGGAAAAGCCCCCTGCCCCAGGGCCAGAGCAGGGATGCTCACAGGAGCTGGAGGAGAGGAGAGCTCACCTGGGCCTCACGTGGCTCCTCTGCATTTGCCTCCTCCAGGTGCTGCAGCAGCTTCTCCTGGACGTGGAGGACTCCCTTACAGGATCCCAGCACTGTGCCCAGAGCCTTGTACAGGAACGACTGCATGGGAAGGGAAGGAAGAAGCTGAGATGTGGCAGCAGCTTAACCTGCTGGTGGAGGGCCAGGTGGGAAGGAGCCAAGCTCCCTGGCAGTTGCTGAGAGCAGCTGCGGGGCTGAGCTTTAGCCATCCCTGGGCAGATTGCAGGGAAAGGCCCTTTGGGGGGCACAGACTTGGAAACGGCATCAGCATCCCGCGTAGGCAGAGCACCAGCCGCAGCCCCAGCCCCAGCTGGACACCTGCAGCTGCACCGCTGGGTAGAGCCGGGGGGAACTCACCTTTTCTGCAGAGCTGCTGGCAGAGCTGCTCAGCCGCTGGCTCAGCTCACAGCTCAGGGCCTCGATCCATGCCTTCTCCTCTATTGTGTCCAGCGACACCTTCAGGAACTGTTGGAGAACAGGAGACAATGTTCCCTTGCCCTTTGCC